CCATCCTTCTCTCCGCTTTCCAGCTGCGCTCAGCGCCGATCCCACCGTCCTGGGCAAGTACCGGGCTGGATTCAACGAGTGCATGAACGAGGTGACGCGGTTCCTATCCACCTGCGAAGGGGTGAACACCGACGTGCGTACCCGCCTTCTCAGTCACCTCTCGGCTTGTCTGGGCCAGATCGTGGCCATGAACTATCCGCCGCCACCGCCGTCCGCTCAGCCCGCACATCTGGCACAGCAGCCTCTGCACGTCCAGCTGCCCCCTGCAGCAGCCGGAGCCGTGCCCGTGCCCTGCAAACTGAACCCCGCTGAAGCCCTGTCCCCCAAGGTCTATGGGGGCTTCCAGCTCGTCCCTGCTACCGACGGCCAGTTTGCTTTTCTCATCCCGAACCCGGCCTTTCCTCCCAGTTCCGGACCAGTTATTCCCCTGTATGCCAATGCCAACGTCCCGGTGTCCGCAGGCAGCGGTTCGGGGAATGCGGCCGCCACCCCATCAGCATCCCCGGTGCAGGGGTTGACATCATTTGGGGGCAGCATTGTTCCAGCGTCCCAGGCGGGAAGTCCCATCGGAGAGCGCAGTGAATCGGTGTGGAGGCCTTGGTGACTTGCCTAAAACAGATTTCCCTTCCCCCCCAAAAAAACCAACTCTTCTCTTGGCTCCGTTGTATGGAGCCCTGTTATGTCTGGGGTTTTTTAAGCAGATTTAAACAGAAAGGAAAAAAGGACCTCGCTATGAACGTGCTATTTATTATTTTCAGAGGTTGGGATCTCGACTTGTATTTTTACTCCTTTAAAATGCCTTTATTTGAGATACTTTTTTTAAAAATAAATGAGAAATAGTTTTGTAACAAATATTCAAAAGTATAATGCCAAAGTTGTTTGTATCCTGTTTGTCTGTGTGTGTGTGTGCCTGTGTTGAAGACTTCCAAAAAAGAGAAAAAAAAAAAATGCAGGTGTTTAAATAAATAAACTCTTTGAAATAGATTTATTTTTCCCTCCCCCCTTCCTTTCATTTTGTTGGGTAAGAATGGGCAGAAACAAGCTCATCCTGGCTGTGCAACCCCCTCAAAATAGTAGGAGCAAACTTTGTGGCCTTAAATAAGGCTATTGGAAGGGATTCCTGTGAAAAATAGTTGGGGGAGGGGAAAGGTGAGGGGTTTGAGGGGGGTCCGGCAGTGTTAAATGTCTCCTGAGAGCTTTGAGAGTGTTGTATTCCCACTCAGAAGAAACAGATTCCTAAAAATCTGCTCCTGGAAGCTGAGGAAACTCTTGCTGCTCTTCAGAGTTTGTGCCTCGCCACCTTGCTGTAGGGATTGCCGGCGTGGGGGTGGTGTGCTCAAAAGTTACTATCTCGCCTACAAAAGAGGCAAGAGAGTCTGTCCCTATTGTGGGGAGGGTAATTAGAAGGTATAAAGGGTCTCATCGAGTATGCAGCGGGCTCTTTGGGAAGTTGGGAACCCTATTGAAACGCCTGGGAACTCGGAGCTGAGGGTTAATGTGTGTCTTTTTTTTTCTCACCACTCTCATTGACAGGGCCAGATAGACTCTGATACTCAATGCTGTTGTAAATTCAATTGCCTGGCCTCACAATGCCCACCTCATAAAAGAGAATAACTTGGGGTTGTGGCTTTTTTTTTTTTTTTTTTTTCTTTCAAGCAAGGGAACTGAGGAAAAGACAGTTTTGCCACCCATTCTGACTCACCCCCAGTACTTGAATCCTGGCCAAGTGGAAGCAATTGCAGCCTCACACACACAGAATTAACCACTTCCAATTGTCACCAATTAATAAGGCTGTGGTGTGGAGAAAGACCATTAAGAGTGAATGCACGGTATGGAAGGGAAAGCTTTGTGTGCTTTGCTCCAAATTTATGAGGTGGGGCTATCGCGTAATCTTTGAGAGAAAAGCCAACAGATGACATGTGTGCGTGCCAAAGCCACGTCCAGAGGCGTAACCCATCTTGGCTGGGCTTTTTCCAGCCTTGAGTCCGTGGGATCCCCGTAGGCAAAGCTGATTCTCCCCGAGACCTAGGGTTTCTCTTGGCCGTTGGGTCGCGGTGGGACCGGCCGCATTCCACCGTTCAGAGAATGACTTGATGTTTGCAGACCGTCCAATGACTACGACAGGCCCAGGGGTGTTTTAGAATTGCAATTTCATCTTTCAAGGTCTAGGTCTATTAGCAAGCAGGTTGCAGCTTCTGTGAGAACGCAGCGTCGGGTGTGTGTGTGCGTTGGGGGGTTATGCACAGCAGGTTATCCGCTTCTGAAGGCTTTTTTACACCTTCATGATATTTCGGCCACGGTTAGATAGGGAAGCGCAGGCTGCTTGGAGCCTGGTGCTGATCCAGTCCAGCAATTCCTCTGCACCAAAGCGTGGGCAATCGATCAGTGCTGAAAGTCCTCCATCCCACAACCAGAACTAGGTATCCATTTGAATCAGGAGGTTCCCAGGAGGTTTTGTTATGCAATCACAGACATAAAATCATGTTACAGCGATTCTCTTCCATCCCCCACAGCCAGTTACTACCCCTCCTCTTCTGTCTGAAGAAGGCTTGGAAGAGCAGATGAAAGCCTGCCTGTCGCCTGCGTGTAACTGTATACCTCCCCGGGGCAGCACCATGTCTCTGGACTTGTCCCTCACTGCCCAGTCCCCTCCAGATCGCCCCTAGGTTCAGCGAATTTCTTTTATTGACAAGGCACCCAGGCTAAAAGCGAGACTGCCGAGAGCTACACTGCTGAGTTCAGGCACAGAGGGGGGGGAAAAAAAAAAAAACAACCCAACACCCACCTCTTTTCTGAGTGGGTTTTGAAGGATTGCAGCAGTGCAAACATGACACACACAGCGGCGTTCCTCTGGGACGCTCATCTCCCGGCGCATGTGAAGCAGTCATTCACCGCTCTGCCTCTGAAGTGAGACCCTGCAATGCGAGCACTACAAGTAAGGCTACCGCTGCCTCCACAGAAACACCGCAGAGCCCCAGTGATCAGCACCCTACTTCTGTGTCCAGCACTGCCACCCGCTCTCTTTTCGGCCTCAGGCCTCTGTGCCCGGGTCCCGTGGGACAGAAGCTGGACACGAGGCGCACGGCACCAACAAACTGGCGTGCCAGAAGCTCCAAATCTTTCCAAGGGATGTCGTTGCCGTTAACTCCAGAGCGCTTCAGAAGATGTACAACTCGAGTTCAATCTCTGTGGCTGCCCTTGGGCCGTATCCAGACCTCACACTTCTGCAACTGCTCTCCTGGCTACTCCTCTGGAAAGGGAAGGGGGCTGCCCTGCTCCTTCGAGGCTTTCTATACATCTGCTTTTCCAGATTGTGTTAAATTTGGTCTTTATCCCTTTAAAGGTGCAGTAAAAGAGTGGAGTGTGCTGCTGCTGAAAGGTGAAAGTCCGAAGGGATGGACGCAGTGCCAAAGCGATAATGGTTAGGCAGAGTGCAGGCAGCCAGAAGTCCAGGGGCGCAACGGCATGATCTGGGCGTGGAGGAGCAAGGCGAGGTGGGAGGAAGGCAGCAGTGAAATCCAGCCGGCCCGTGATGCCTCCTTCAGCTGAACTTCACTGCAACAGCTCTGCCTCGTTCCAAGGGAAAAGATACGGCGCTAGCCGCTAACTAGCCATTTCCAGGGCTGGCAGAAGGCTAATCACAGCCGGGAATTCAGTTCCAGCTGCAAAACTCGGTGAAATGTTTAGCGGTAGTTCAGCTGTGTCTCCATAGTACTGCAGCCCCAACAGGCATCCCCTGAGAAGCACTGTTCAGTGCAAGGAAAGAGAGTCTCCTGCAAGGCCCCGGGCAAGAAGCAAAGCCCCTTTCAGCTTCTGGGCTGGCCCAGTTTACCAGCTGATGAAAAAAAAAACCAAACACCTGGGAAAAAGCACCCGAGGCTTCAGCTGAAGTCTTTTTCCCTTCCCATCTCCTGCCCTGATGCCTTTGCATTCCTCTGCTTACAAGTTTCCCAGCGAGGACGTTTTCGGGGGTTATCCTCCTGCCTGCGCTCTGCTCCCCACAGTTTCCTCGCCCTCCAAGGGCAGCTACATCTCGTTCTCTGCTGCTGCTTAGTTTTTTCCCCTTCCCCACCCGGGAGGGAGCGATGCAGCCCACAGCACCGGGCAAACCCAGCACTGGTGGGAGGCCCAAGGCCTGTGGGGTGCAGGACATGGAGCTGCCCACCCCTCCCTTTCTGCGTGGGGGTCTTGCCCTCCATCCCATCCCAGTGGCAGCCTCACTGGAAGGCGGCCGAGGGCTGCGTGAGGGTCCCGGTGGTGTTACAGAGGGGTGGCGTGGGGCTCCGGGGTCATCTCCCCGTTATTCCACACTGGGAGGGAATTCCACACCACAGAGGGAGAGGAGGGTGTCCATGACCCCCTCGGCCCGGGGTGGCCAAGGCAGGCAGGCCGGCAGACACCGCCTCGTCCTTTTGGATCGTGCATCCCAGAGACCCTCCGAGGAGAGAGCGCGGTTCCTCTGGCTCAATGGATGCAGCCAGATTTACTCAGGCTGTTAAGCTGATTAATTGAAATGAAGTTCCTCCAGAGAATCGGCGTGTTCTTTGAGGTCAGGGTCACAACACTGAGACGCTTAATCAGATCTTTCCATTTAGCCCCTCTTAGGCAGGCTGGAATGCAGGCTCTTTCAAAGCAAGGCACTTGGCGCCAAATTTCTGCTCTGCTATCTTGCCTCTTCCATTACATTTAACCAGCACATCCATCATTATGAAATAAAACCCAATGCTACAAATCCAGCTCAGGTGATCTTTCCACAACCAAAGCCGGTAGGAAAAAAAAAAAAACAAACCAACACCCAACTCCTGAGCTTGATATTGCCGTTGTTTTAAAAAGCGATGCAGAACGGTGCGGAAAGGGTAACTGTCACTCTGTGTCGGTCCTTTCGGAGGAAGGGGGCAGATGTTTCTGTGCGGATAACAAATTCCTTTATCTGACTGAAGCATTTCTCTGGGGAAGGTGGAGGAGGTTATTATAAGGTTACCCTGAACTATTGTTAAAGAAAGGGGGTTTTCATTGCAATTCAAGAGCCCGTCATATTACCCAGAGATAAATCACTCCTGTATGGCTATGGAACAGCTCTTATGCAACAGAGAAGCCAGATCCCACATGTATTAAAAGCACTGAAAGCTTGTCCATTGTATCACTGATCGGCCAGAAGTTAGCATACCCAATTAGCACGTACACTTCTGTGGACCTCCTCTGCTCCTACTTCAGTCCCGGTAAGCAGGAGGACATTTCTTACATCTAAGGCATTGATAACATCATTGTTTCTATTTCTTTAGTCTCTTAGATGATGTGGGGCCAGTATCTCCGTTTTGCTGTACAGCAAGATGTTCGTAATTTCGGTGGCAAGGTTAGAAGCGCAATATGTGTGCATCGCATCTTTAAGCAGAGCTGCACAAGCCATGAAGGAACCCCCCAGATCTTGGTAATGCTGGCTGGGCGAGGGGGGGTGTCCCCCCCGAAATCCTCCCAACCCTTTCCCATTCACTACTCTAAAGTTCAAGACAACAGCCACAAAGCCTAGTCCGTATTGCAGACACCTATGAGATGTTGGATCTTTATCAGTCACAACAAGGCTCTGCAAAAGCTGCCAGGGCTTTA